CCCCGAAAAAACCCAAACAAAAACAACAACAACCCCAAAACAAACAAACAACAAAACAACAACAAAACAACAACAACCAACAACCGTATTTTATACCATACCGGGCATGATTGTCAGACCATTTCCTCATAAAGTCAATATTTTAGTTTTCTCAAAACGAGACTTTTCTCTATACTTTTTTGACTAACTCCACTATTTTTCGTCCAAACTTCAAGAAATATTCACTGAATGAAGAAAAGATGTAATGCTAAAAATTTGTCTGTTGAATTTATGATATATAGAATAATTTTTTTTCGGTGGTGTCTGGAGTGTGGATTTTCAGTGATTTTTTGCAAACTTGAATGCTACCCCAGGAAAAAATTCCTAAAAAATATTCTAATTCGTTTAGGAAAAAAACAACAGACAGGTTTTAGATCTAATGTTTGTAAACACGCATGCAAAATCCAATGTGGCCGCCGTATCCATGGAAATGAAACTTTTTTCTCCAATTTGATTGCGGATTTTAAGACTCCTTACTATGCTTGTTATATGTGTGAAATATGGTAAAATTTTGTCCGGTAATAAGTGAGATAGCCTTCAGGTGTAGCCCCCCCCCCTTTAACTGGCACATCTGCGTTCCTGCATCTGCCTGCAAGTTTCTTTGTGGTTTCGTACTGTCCTCTCATGTTTCCTGCCCCTGTTGCTTCCTCTGCCTCGCGCGTTAGGTCATCTACATAGTTTATTTTGTTTTTCCGTATGTTGACTATTACATCCTTCATTGCTTTGGAGTATTCTTCTGAGGCCTTTGCTTTGGCTGCTCTAGTCGTGCTCCTGTTTACATGATCCTTTTCCTTTTCCCTGTCCTCTATCTTCATCAGAGTGGTGGCAGATAACCACGGCTTGTGCTCACGTTTCCGTTTCTCCAGTACCTCTTGACTGACAGTGGTCCAGCCTATTTTATATTGCCTCCCATGTTTCTTCCACGCTTCTATCCTCGCCTGTTGGAACCTGTTCTTAACTGCTACATTAAACCCTTCTCTTGACGATGGCTCTCTCAGAAATTACACGTTGTACCGGCAGCTATGATTGACAATCCCCTGTCTTTGCTTTAGTTTTAATCGGATTGTTGAAATGAGCAGATGACGGTCAGAAGCTACGTCGGCACCCCTGTAAACTCTAACATCCCTTATTGATCTCCTGAAGTTCTTGTTGACACATACATGTATGTGGTCCATTTGGTTTTCAGTTTGTTGGTCTGGAGACACCCATGTTGCGTAGTGTATCTGATTTTGTGGGAGAACAGTGTTCCTCCTATGATGAGCCCATTTGTAGCACATATTTCTACAAATAGTTCTCCATTCTCGTTTCTGACTCCAAGTCCGTGTTTCCCCATGATTTCCTCAAAGCCTACATAGGGGACTCTCTTTGCCTAGAGGTTAAGGTGTTGGCCTCTCATTCAAAGGTCCCGGATTCAAAACCGGGTAGCGACCGAAATATTTTTCCCTCTAACATTGTCTCCTTTCTCCTCTAGCAATGTTCCGTCGTCCGCTTTCGTCTCCTCTTTCTGCCCCCAGCCCCTCACCTCCTTTCCCCCCTTTTCCGGGCCCCTGACTCTTTCTGGAGCCTTTCTATTGCTACTCCTTTGCTCCTTCTTACTGCTGTCTTTCAGCCACACCCCTGATCTTCAGGTAGCAAAGATCTACATCTAGCCTTCTCGGACAAGGGCGAAAAATCTCGGAGAGCGCGTGTGCAAGTTGCGCTCATTAAAGATCCCTTGGTGATCTAAAATCGATAAGAAGAGGCTTCGGCCGCCACCCAGGCAAAATTCAAAATTTCCTACCAAATGAAAATGTTTGATGTGTCCCGCGCGCTCATTTGACCTAAAGCAGTTGCGAGCGCCGTGAAACACTTACCAAAAAAAAGTCTACATTGCTACTGCCAACCTTAGCGTTGAAGTCTCCCATTACAATCAAGATGACTTTCCTTCTAACCTGGTCAATAGTATTTTGTAGCATTTTGTAGACACACCCTGGCTCTTATCATTGGTGGGGGATATCCCTGGCTAACATGAAGGTTGATGTCCAATTTCTCTGAACCGAATTCGGCTGATAGTAGTCGTGGACCCTCTGCTTTCCATCCTATCAAAGCCTACTTGGCCTGTGTTGATAACATAATACCTACTCTTGTATGTGGTGAGTTTTCCTCCGGATGACAACAGTAGAGAATTGTTTCCCCTGATGCAAGTTTGCATTCCCCAGCATTTGTCCCTCTCGTCTCACAAAGACCCAACATGTCCAGTTGGTAGCCCCCCATCTCGCTTGCATCCTGCAGTGCCTTCCCTGCCTCGTAAATTGTACGAACATTCCAGGTGGCAAGTCTGGTGGTTCTTCTGGTCGACAGGAGGTTTCTCGGCTTGGTGGCTTCCTTTCTGCATCAATCAACACTCTTTTTTCTCTCCTCTCTTCAGTGATGAAGTTCCTTCATCCTACAGAACTTGCAGTCGTGTTGTTTCGGCTGTTTATATATTTTTAGCTGTTTTTGTTTTGTTTTACGGGAAAGGGCTGCTAACCCTTTGCTCAACAGACCTTAGTCGCTTTCTACGACATGCGCGGTACGGATATAGTAGTCCTATTCTTCGCGCCTCTGGCTCTTGGACAGGACCCCAGGAACCACACGGGTTACTTTTGGTGGTGTAGAAACGATATTGTATCTCTGTCTCCCTCTCACTCTTTTTGTGTCTGTCTCTGTTTATTTCTGTCTCAGTCTCTTTCTCTCTCTATCTCTATTATCTGTCTTCCTCCTCCCTTCCTCTCTCCCTCCCTCCCTCTCTGTCTGACTGTCTGTCTGTCTGTCTGTCTGTCTGTCTGTCTGTCTGTCTGCCTGTCTATCTGTCTGTCTGTCTGTCTGTCCCCCCCCTTTCTCTATCTCTCCCTCTTTCTCTCTCTCTCTTTCTCTCTCTCTCCCTCTCTCTCTCTCTCTCTCTCTCTCTCTCTCTCTCTCATAATACAAACATGAACAGAAACACACACACATTCCAACATCAAACCGTCTTTTCCTTTGACAATTCCTAACCCGTTATGTTGATGCTTCAGGTTTTCACGGGAAGACGAACATGGAGTCGTTGGAGATAGACCAGTGGCTCAATCTGAAGCAAGATTTTTTCTCTGAGATTCGCAAAGCAGTGGTGGAGAAAGACGCAGAGAAACAGGTTAGTACTTAAAACAAATTATGGTAGGGTAGAACTTGACGTGTCGCCAGCCAAAGGTGTGTGATTGTGTGTTTTTTAAAATGTAGGTGTTATTACTTACGTCGTCGTAATTTATGTCAATGGCCAAAGGGGGGGGGGGGGGGGGTAGTAAAGCGTACGCATGAGCAGTTTCTTAGCAAAAGTGTGCTATATAAAAATAAAGTTTATTTATTAATATTATTGTATTGTCAACCTTACTTGGGCTTTAAACAGCATGAATGAAATTCGGCGCAAATACCCATAGTTATTAATATGTTGTGGAAGGCAAGCTAAAAAAAGATAGATAGATAGATAGATAGATAGATAGATAGATAGATAGATAGATAGATAGA